TATAGATTTAGATGTCTAATTAGGACACAAAATTGAACAGAATAGGGTAAAGCATTAACCTTCAACCATTACCAGCTGGGGCTCTTATAAAGACTACCAAGTCCAAATGGTTCCTATTCATACAAGGAATACCCTAATGAATATCAATTTAAGCCAGGTTGCTCTACTACAATTGATTCTAAATTTGATATTACCTTCAATACAGTTTGTAACTGCCTATTCTGCAGTGTCATACCTAAAAGTGGCACACATAATGAAGATTTACTTAATTTTTTTTCAACTTTTAATTCTTTGAACTATTGACATTAGTCATGAGTTTTATCTAAGATTCAGCATTTTGTATAATTTGAGGTCAATATATCATTATTATTTTAATAACTGTAATACAGGTAGTTAAGCCATTGAGTTAAAGCTGCCATTCACTTAGAGGTGTTTAATCCCGATGCATTCCCTGAATATATTTGCATTAATATACAAATGAAGAACTCACATGCAGCCAATTCCTGAGGCTTAAACAGTAGCTTGTTAATTAAGCACATCTTTATCATTAAATATTCTGATGATATGCGAGCAATATGGTGATGTGTTAACATGGGTATCTAGGTTCAGAGCAGAATATTCTTGAAGGCTATAAAATGATGAAGCTTGATCACATGTTTCTTGGAAAACAGCCTATTGTTTTCAGTGGGATTTTATTGCTTGATGAATATTTATAACATTGATCTTTATACCTAGAAAGACAACTGTATGTTCCAAAAGTGTATTAATCAACTGTTTAATTTTCATAACTCTTCCCATTGGTGAGAAGTAGAGTTTTGACAGTAGCATTGATTTTAGCTCACATTTCTCAAATGAAAAGCTTTTGAAAATGTTATTAGCATTCTTATTTTAAACTTTTGTTAATTCATGCCTTTTCTAAATCGATGACATGTTCCCTCTGGAGAGTTCATCAACAGAAGATCTGAAGTTCCCTGGGAAGCTATTTGTTTTTAATAATACTGAGCTTGTTCAGGAATATTGTCTCTTGGGTGACAGACATCTTCAATTGTGTCTTTTTGGAATGTGGAGAATGGAGATTCTATTTCTGATCCAGAAAGAAAAATGTGTCCTCTCTTAGTTATAAGGATGTCAATATCAAAAAGATTGTGGCTAGAAATTCAGGTTTAAAGAGATAAAAGCAAATTTTTTTATGTGGAAAGGCACTCTGCAAAACCTCACTTATGGCTAGCAGTTGAATTTTGGTGAAATTTTTCTGCTTAATGTGTTATTGTTTTAGAACTTATGCACTTTTATCTTTGGACTTTTATCCTTTGCACTATGCTGTTGGTAATTGTTATACGACTGATATAATTCTGAGTTCTTGTGCTATTGTTGCCTGTTGGAGATTAAATTTGCAATATTCAAGCAGGCACTTATAATGAAAACATTACAATTTTGTCCTACCCAATATTATTTTGCTTTATGGCTCAGATACTTCCAGCAATAGAAGAAGCCCAAACTGCAGATCTTTAGCTTCATTAAATTACAGGTAATCCTCAAGGTACGACCATAATGGAGGCTGCCCCTTATGATCATAATATTAACTGAATTATGTTAAATGAACGAGTCCCATCCCTCCTCTTTCCAATGCATTTGTTAATCAATGAGCAAATTGTTAAGTGTGAATGGAGTTCCTCAGGAATGGCAAGACCATGGAGGGGCTAGTGCAGAAACAAAACCACCTGCGTCCAGCCACTCAAAACCTTTCCCCCACCCACTGAGATATCTCATGCTTGCTTCCCTTCCTCGGGGTCCCCATGGCTGCTTCGGCCTTCTATAAACTCCCTATTATCAATCACTCACTCACCTTTTGAAGATCTCCAGAGTTCCAGAACAGGCTGGGCCATGCGGCAAATGACTTTTTCTCAAACAGCTGGGAAAGCTGGGGGTTTTTCCTTAGATCCAGTGGTGAGATTCAACCGGTTTGCACCACTTCAGCCAAACTGGTTGTTAAATTGCTGGCTGGCCATGCCATGCCCCTCACTCCTTATCTTGCCCCGCCCACATTGACTAATGCCTACAGTTACGCCTGTGGCATAGCTGCTGCTACTGTCTGGTTCCCTTGCTTGCCTTGACTGCGGCCTCCGCAGCCCAGCTGATCTCTGCCTGGTGAATCTTTCTCCCTTAGCTGCCTCCCACACAGCCCAGCCCACTTGCCTGCCTTTGCCGTGGCCTACCTGATCTCTGCATGGGCCACTGGATGTGTGGCTGACACTTGGCTTCCAGTGCCAGAGAGGGCAGGGAAGGGAAGCGGCCAGGCTGCCGCTGCCTTTCATTGGCGCATGTGGAGCGAGACAAAGCTCCTCTTGCTGCCTCTTCTCCCCCACTCCTTGCCAGGCATGGCAGGGCTTCCTGCCCCTCACTTTCACTGTAATTTGGGAGTGTGGCAGTTAGAGAATGGTGGGGCGGGGGAGAAAGGATATTCCAGACTCCCAGGCCTACTGGCTTCTTACTGGCAGCTCTTGCTCTGCCTTTTGGTGTCAGCGGTTAAAGACGAGGTTTTTGTGGGCAGAAGAGTTTGCTGGCACCGCTTCCCCAAGCACTTTTTTGCCTACCTGATTTCCAGATCCATCGCATTTCTCGCCATCGTGTGCAGGGAAACAAAACTTTGTGGGACTAAAAATAAAGTGCAATCAATTTCAACTTCTCGCAAAAGAAAAAAAATCTTGTGAAGTTGGAATCGATTGAATTTTTTTTTAGTCCCACAAACTTTTGTCTTCCTGCATACGATAGCAAAAAACGTGACGGAGTTGAAAATCAGGTAGGCAAAAAAGTGCTTGGAGGAAGCGAGGGCATCTGGCTGGCAGTGGGTGGGGCAAGCAGTGGAATCATGGTGGAAAAAAAAACAAAGCCACCCGTTATAGCCAGGACCACCCCCACTAAACAAGCAGAGCCGTGGTGGCTCCATTGCACCCCGCCTCCTCCTGCCAGGAAACACCCCCAGCCATGGGTGACCTTTCCTCAAATGGGCTGTCTGTGTGCACATGGGATGCTTGGAAAAGAGAGCAAGAGATCTCTCCAACCTCTGTTTTTGTGAAAGTGTGTGTGTGAGAGAGAGGGAGGGAGCGATCTGTGCTTCAGCCGAACCATCCAAACATCTGGCAGTGGCGGGGGCGGCTTCTGAGCAGCATGATCCCCCCTCCACAGTCATCCAGCTTCACCTAATCTACTCCCTGAGTCTCCCTGTTCTTTCCGCCCAAGTCGAGCGATGGCAGGCACTGCGGGACTACAGGGCCTCTCATTTTTCTCACGGTGTGGCGTATACTTGCTACCTTTGCTTGTCTGCTTGCAAGCAACAATCTTCTCTGCTTCTCTCGGGACACTGGTGCGGGCACCATGCATCTCTTGTCAGGGCTGAGCAGGGAAGGCTCTGTCACGCCCCACCCCCTCGCTTCCCCGAGCGCAGAACCGAGACCGTGCACTTCCTTGCCTGGCTGGCCACTGGCAGAGCCATGCGGCCAACAGCCGCTCAATGCCCCATGCAGCATCACCCAGCCACTGGTGAGCGGCCAATATAGCTTGGGCTGGCTGGTTGGAGCAGCACTGCAGCCGAGGCCCCCACAGTGCATCTGAAAGAGAAGGTGTCACACGAGAAGATCCTCATGTTGAATGAATAAAGGTTGAATGAAGTTCAATTGAGCGAGGAAGCACTGCGGAGCCAGGCCCTTCTCACCTGCATCCAGCCCACTGGAATTCGCTGTGCTGGGGCAGGAATGACTCCTGCGGACCCTGCCATTGCTTGAGCAATGTTTTGCGCCAGGCAGCTGGCCCTGCAGTGGCGGCTTGAATGGCCCAACTAAAGTTATGCTCACCGCGAATCACCAACGTTGACCTTGATGAATTCCATGAAAGATTTTTTGATACTCTTCCGCAGCTCCTTTTCGATCTCACCCACTTTCAGGACGATGGGCCCCCACACTGAGTACTCCACTGCCTTGATCTGTTGGTTCATAGATTCCAACATGGGGCCTTCTCTTTCAGCTGCAGCGCAGGGGCCTCGGCTACAGCACTGCTCCAACCAGCCAGCCCAAGCTGGGCTCGCCACTCTGTCCCTACTGGCGGCTGGGCGATGCTGCATGGGGCATTGAGCGTGTTCTGTCCCCAACCCCACGCACACACACCAACAGACGTTCAGGAGTTAAAGACCAAACCAGCCGGCAAAATCCTTTTCCTTATGATAACGGAACTTGGCAACAACCTAGTGGCTGCCTGCCAAGAGTTTATTATTTACAAAGAGGAGAGATAACTTCTCCCACTTCTGATACATCAAAGGAAAGCAGCTCAATAATTACGGAATTAATAAAGTCCAGAGATACTCCAGCAAAGTCTTAAAACAAAAGTCCGGCAATGCAGAATGGCGTGGAAGCTTTCAGCTTTGTTCGTCACAAGGTTTGACTGGCCACCACGCTCCCTTTTATATCCTGTGGGGTGTGGTCCAGTGACTCAGCCTAATCTCGGGCATGCCCTTTCTTCTGTTGCACGCGCTTATCTCTGCGACGCTGGCGTGGGTTCAGCCAAGACTCATTACCCTCATCACTGTCCATCTGTGGCTGCGTGGACGTGCTTGGCCCCGGCCCTATCTCTTGCCCTTCGGCGGACACCGAAGGCATTGCCAGAGAGGAGGGTCCTGGAGAGGGAGGCCTTGCCAACTCCTCCCCTTCACTCTCGGAGTCCTCTCCTGACGATGACCCAGGCTCCGGTAACGGAGCCACAACAGAGTGGCTGTCAATCGCGTGGCTCTTTGCCAGTGGCCAGCCAAGCAAGGAAGTGCACAGCCTCGGCTCTGTGCTCAGGGAAGTGAGGGAGAGTGGCGTAATAGCAGCTTCCCTGCTCAACCCCGACAAGTGATGTATGGTGCCTGCACCAGCATCCTGAGAGAAGCAGAGAAGATTGCCGCTTGCAAGCATACAAGCAGAGGTAGCAAGTATATGCCGCACTGTGGGAAAAATGAGAGGCCCTGTAGTCTCGCAGTGGTATTCATCTCCGATTCTCAGCCGTGGGAGTCTGCACTGTCTGACAGACATTTCTGTCATAATGTGGCCATCATAAAAATACAGAACACAGTAACCTTTCCCACTGAAGCAGTACCAGTGGTGGGTTGCTACCGGTTTGCCTTAGTTCGGGCGAACCGGTAGCAGCGGTAGTGGGAGGCTCTGCCAACCCATCCAGGCATCGTCAAATACGATCTGCGCATGCCCAGAAGCTTCTGCGCATGCGCAGACAGGGTGCGCATGCAAGCGAAGCAAGCGCACATGCGCGAGCAAACTGGTAGCAAAGGTAAGTAAAACCCACCCCTGAGCAGTACCTATTTATCTACTTGCATTTGCTTGCTTTTGAACTGCTAGGTTGGCAGGAGCTGGGGCAAGTAATGGAAGCTCATCCCATCCTGCAATGTTCAGGTCTCGAACCCAAGCTGTCAGCTTTTCAGCTAATAAGCTCAGCGTCTTAATCACCAAGCCAAGGTACTGCCTCACAGTCTATAATAATTATTATTAAATTTTCAAAGAAAAGGGAACTGGTTTAGGATCTAGGATTTCATGATATTTGTAATGGTAATGATGGGTCTATTACAACTATGGACTGTGTTCAAATGTATCAGAGATGGCAGCACTAAATTTTATAGTGCAATCTAGGTCATGTTTTAATGTATCACCTAGTTATCATGTCTGTGAACAGTGAACAAATATTGGAGAGTTTTGGCTTACCATGATGAAAAATATTTCTGTTGTATGAAAACATATTGTATCAATGTTCTCAAGTCTTACCTTATCCAAATTATGGAAATCCTAACATTGGTATATTTCCAAACTCACAATTATTAGAATATATCAGCTGTTTTTAATCCTACTCTCTATAGCCTTACATGGTTTTCACAAAATACTACAGCTGCTGCACATTTAAAAATTTGCCTCCCTTTTCCTTTAGCTGTCACAACTACTGGAAGAGATATAAAACCTGGAATAGTATATATATCAAGCAGGTTCTTTACCATTGAATTGCATTCATTTTCCTTTGCAAGCAAAATGTCAATGAGTTTTTGTAATAACCCTAAATAGGGCCTTGTGGCTCAGCAGACTGATACCATTCTGATTAACACCAGCTGTCTGCAATTACTGTAAGTTCGAATCTCACCAGGCTCAAGGTTGACTCAGCCTTCCATCCTTTCTCAGGTAGGTAAATTGAGGACCCAGTTTGTGGGGGCAATAAGCTGACTTTGTATAAATATACAAAGTATGAAGGCTATTGCTTAACGCATTGTAAACCGCCCTGAGTCTCCGGAGAAGGGCGGCATATAAATCAAATTTTTTTAAAAAATGTCCATAAAGAATTTGGCTTTTAGAAATGATATTCATTGATTTTTGTACTTTTTGTACATCCATGCATAGCATTTGTTTACTTATTTACACTATCTGGTTGTTGTTGTTTTGCTTGTTTGAGGACTTGTCTCTGAGCAATTAATATTGCACATGTAACTGAAAATAGAAATATCGGCAAAAACTGTGGTATATGCCACTTCACTGTTCTAAAAATTATGTAGCAGGGGTATGTTTTCATGATAGTGGCAGAAAGTAAACATACCAGTAATTGTTTGCAAAGAAATAAAAATCAGAAAATGAGGGAATTTGCTATAAATCAGCTACTATGAAAACAATTATTAGTGCTTTATTGTATTCTAAATCATTAGGTTCCTATTTTCATGTTATAGACCAGGTTAATTTGGTTAATACTTGGATAATACATTTTACTAAGAATCTAAGTATATTCTTTATAGTGATATATATGAAATATTTATATGGAATGCCAGTTGTTAAACATTGTCCTTGGGTTACTTTGCAGTAGAAATGGGTGTTTTTTTTTAATATTACAATTGTCTTCTTATATCTTTCCTGGAAAATGTTTATTTGACAGATGAAGAATAGCTTTTTTAGTAATTCAAAAGAGCTGTCTGCTGACCGCACATTTTAAAACACTGTATCAACTATCATCCAGATTTGTTTTTGAACCACACCTTTAACTTATCAAAAGCTCAAAGTGGTACACAATAGATAGAATACCATAAAAAAGAATAACATGCATACTTTGCATGGAGAAAACATAATTCAGTCAGCCTTGATCAAAATTTGGTTAAATAGTATAATTTTTCAACAATCATCTAAAAGCACATAAAAAGGCAATCAAACTAAATTCAAATAATTCTGAAAAGGAAATTCCTCAATCAGGACACAGAGAGGGATTTGTTTCAAGTCTCCAATCTCACCTTCCTAAGAAATGGAATAATAATAAAATGTTTCTTGAGTAGCTTTCATACAAAAATCAGTATATGTCATGAAACAGTGTTTTTTTCAGTAGCCACAATAATTTTCCTGTTTTAATTTTTGTAAGTGAAATGCAGATATATAGTGTATTTGTCAAATTCTGATTCTTTATTGTCACTTGTGCTATACTATTTTAAAATAGCTTCTATATTCCTTATTTGCTTGCTCACCTAGAACAGGGTTAGCAGAATGAGGTGTAATATGCCAATTATTTTGGTCTATCTCAGATAAAACAACATATTTTAAAATAGAACACATAGAATTTGGTTGTATGGAATATTCATGTATTGATACACAAATTAACACAAGTTTACAATATTACTAAACCCCAACATATTTAAATTATTTTTAGATTTTCAGATGTATAAATCCAGTAATAGTATTATGTATAAACTTGCAACAATAAATTGTCTGCAAACTGTCATACATTAGTACATATATTTATACATAACTAGTTTAGTTGTATATGAAGCAAGCAATTTAGCAATATAAACTCCCGAACAAATCTTATATAGTCCAAAGAAAAAGACTAAATTCTCCTTTGAGACAAGCTCAGTGACAGGTGAGTGCGTAGAATGGACTTTTGCCTTTCTTGCCAACAATATGGAAATGGTTTGTCTTTTTCTTTTTCCAGGATGCTTTTCTATCCTTCACCAATAGTCCTAAGATTTTCTGAAGTCTTATTATCCAAATGTAATTGGTAGGGATTAGCCAAAGGTTCCCTCCCTCTGTCTCAAATATACATGCATAAAAAATTCTGCATAATGCCAGCTTCCATTGTCCACTTGATTAATAACTCTAATTGAAAACAAACCTGAAGATTGTTTTTGAATAAATGTGTGGATGTGATACACTTATACATTTGTACATAACTGCATAGAAATTGCACTCCAGAAAAACAATAGGTAAAATGAAAAATCCAGTGGCAATTGAATTAGTAGCTGTTAGTTAAAATGACTTCTCAGAAAAGGAGGCACTCCATTTATAGACTTAAATCATCCTCTTTCTGCATTTGCTGCACAAATAATTCTCAGACCTCATTTTCTCGGAAACACAAAACCACACACACACATACACACACACTTCCAGTAGATATAACAAAAGAAAAGAATGAGCAGAATAGCAAGAGGGAAGGGAGAAGAGGTAAGTGCAGAGAGGAAGAAAGGAAGGGAACAGAAATGGAGGAACAAAAGTGAAGGTGAGGAGAAAGGATAATTAGAGGAGAAAGGGAAAAAGGAAAGTATTTGCCTTCCATATGTAAACGAGAAGTATCTGTAGTGAGCCGGGAGATGGGCAGAAGCCATTGCCATTTCTTTTGCCTTCTTTCAAAGAACTCCAGAAAAATGAAGTCCATTTGGATTAAAAGAAGCTCACTATATGGATTCCATCTGCATTCTTCTGATTGACTGACAATGAAGCAAAATCAGCTTCTTTTATAAGATAGACTGTGTATGCAGCCAGAATATAGGAATAGTTGCTGCTATAGTATTTTTTTTTTTTTTTTGCAAGTCTTCCTGCTTGTAATATCTTGAGCTCTCTCCTTTATAAGTATGGAGCTGTTCAGCCCTAGCAGTAATGAATAGGAAGAAAAAGAGTGGCAGGCAAAATAGTTATTTAATCATTCCTCATTGGGGTTGTGAAAAGAAAACAAGGCTGAATTTGTTTGAAAGCAGAATGGTAACCAACAGGTAGTTGTTACCTTCTTCACTGAATAACCAACAAACCCCTTACCTTTTCCATTACAATATGCTGTATCTCGTTTTGCTGCCTAATTACTTGGAATAGTCTATTAAAGAATGAAATCCCCCCCCCGAGATTTGCTCTCAATATGAACTTCACATATACACTCAAATATGGATTGCTGCATAGTCCTAATAAAGACCATCAAAAAGTTCTTTCAGTGCCCTAGCTTGCAATTTATCTGGTCCTGGAGTTTTAATTAATTCAAAGTAAATAGGCATTTCATAAGCAGGTTTCTATTAATCCGAAAGTTTAATCCTGCCATTTAATCTTGTTCCTCACTATTTCCTGGCATGATGTGCATTGTATTCTTAGGCAATATGCTTGACCACATTCTATCAGATAAAGGATTTTCAGCATCTAAATAACTAATCATTTGTATTCAATAGGATATCCTTTAGGTATGTTGATTTATATGATCTAAAATATACATGAAAATTAATTCTCATATAGCCAAAAATAAACATCCTGGTACAATATCGAGCCATTACGTGGATAAAAAAACAGGTGAAAATTATATCTCTCACACACACCAAATTATTTGTTATGCAGAATGACCAGGAGAAAATGATGTAATAAAATTTAAAATTGTAATATTTAATAGCTTTTAAAACTTACTACTTAATACTTATTGAAGTACTAAAGTTCTAATCTAGCTATCAGAAGTTCCTTAATTCTTGTTTACTTGCCTCATTGTTTCGAGTCCAGCCTGATACAAAAAATGTGACAGCACTTGTATTAAATTAAATAGGTTCCAAAAACCTATTTCTGCCTAGAATGAAAAATTGAGTGATGTAGGGAATGACGGATACGGATGAACATAATCATTAAACCTGAATAATTTCCTCTGCTGTTTTTACAGCTAGAGGAAAACAGATAGAAATTTAATGAGAACTTTTCTTGTTACAGATTTTCTTGCTTTCTTATTAAGCCAAAAGAACATGCACAATTCTTTCCAAAATATAGATACTTTCTTCACAAACAATGCTCATGGTAAAATTGAACAAATTTATTCCCATTGTGTTGATGAAATACTGCCATTACTTTAAAAAATACAAATTTAGTAATAAAAAGTTATATTCTATAAGATGTAGATATAAGATCAGTCCAATTTCAATTAATTGTGAGCTGCCCAGAGTTGCTTAAGATGGGTAACCTATAACTCTTTTAAATGAATAAATTTCTTTTTAAGAATCACAGTGTTGGAAGGACTGTTTGTTATTAATGCTTAAAAGCTAAGATATTAAATTATAATATTTTTAAAAATATGGTCATGGATCTTGTATTCCACATCACGTAATTTCTGAAGACTTTGTTCAGCTTCATATGCTATGATCAACACACACTTGTGTTGCTCTTTCAAGTCAATCTTAGTTTTTGAGATGTGTCCTGGATAGACATTCAAAAAATATATTATCCCAGTTATTTGATAGAATTGGCCTGATGGAATTATATGTAATCTACACAAACACACTGTTTTTCCATAATCTGAACTATTCAATAGCATAATTAAAAATTCAGCATATCCTCAATCGACTCTCAGTATGGAGACCAATATGAGTCAGATCGGACTTGGTATCAGTGATTTCTGTTGGCAGCATGGAAGCTTCTGACCTAATATGGCTTCCATATTAGGCCGGAAGCTTCCATGCTTCCAACAGTCTTTTCCTACTGATAAGGTATAGGGACTTAACTTGGATATCCACATCAATTTTAGGAGATTGAACAAACTACAGATTATATGACACAGAATAGAACATTTTAGTGACTACCATTTCCCAGATTTCCTGAAGCATGAGTAAATAGTGAAATGATTTTATATGTTTTATATTAAACATATGTGGTGGACACACTGGAGAATTTACATGTACAGTCAATCAAAAGGTACATTTCATACTTTCTTTGTATTTAATTGAATTTAATTGTAAATTAATTGAATTTAAATTACATTCTTGTCTTTTGGATGATTCTTGATCTGAGTTCAAAAACCTGTGAAAGAATTATGTTATCTTTTTTCTTTAAATTCCCAGAAGCCCTATTAGGCTTAGGCCTGCTGTCCATTTCAACTAAGTGACAAGATTTAACAGATTAACAGAGTTGGAAGGGATCTTGCAGGTCATCGAGTCCAACTCCCTGCCCAAGGAGGAGACCCTACATCTACCTCTACCTAGGATTGAACTCACAACCTCCTGATTGTGAGGCAAGAGCTCCAGGTCTAGGTGAATGGAATGCCTTTCATCTTTGTATATGAGCAGAAAATATATGTTCATGAAAAAAAATGGGAATCGTAGAATTCTTTGCTCAGTCCAAAATGATTGTTTGGGCAGAATTTTAAAGCACAAAAACATTTTAAAAGCAGATGCAACAACAAAGTTTAATCTCCTTTATCTCCATCTTGTGGTGAAAAGAAGTATTTTTTTTTATACAGAGGCAGGAAACAAAACTGAAATGTATCTTTTCCCGCCCAGAGATAATTATTCTTTTGAAAAAAGAAGACTGAATAGTTAAAAGGTCTATATTTGCCACATAACTTAAATTTGCTTCTTGACAAAGACGCCTTTTTGTTATGGGTGATGGGATGTGAGGAAATAGAGTCTGTAATATGATGTATTTGAGAACAATTACCCCAATGGGTCTGTTTAACCTACTAAAAAGGAGGATATGAAGGGAATGTATATACTGTGTATCATCTGGAAATTGTCAGAAAAGCAAATGAAGTAAACTAGGAACATTTCCAAGACAAGCTGTAGTGAGTTTTCAGCTGACTGAATTTTCAGCTCAAAATGAAATGAGATTCTTGGAATCATATATCACCCAATATTTTATATCATACTTGCCACCTTGTGGTAGAGCATTGAGGTGCCAAATCCCTTATATTTTTAAGATATAGCTGGGTATAATTTGTGAGAGATTTTTTGAAAACAGGTGCAATTGTTTGAATTCTCAGAAAAATCTTCAAAATTTACTTTGATAAAGTTAAAGTAAGATCCTGGCCAAAGGGAGTCAAGAAAAACAGTTGTCCATGTCCATAGTACGGTAGAGTTGTTAGGACCAGACTTTCACTCTCCTCTTTTGTCACAGAAGGCTATGAAAAAACAACCATGATCTGGATGATTGAGTAGCTCCATAGACATATACATTATTTTTCTCTTCTATCTGCAATCACAGCAGATCTATCTGGAGCACATGAGAAAGGACTTTGTTCTAGTGGCTCAAAATAACCCAGGAAGGAATGCCTTGTGTCCTAGGAAGGACATTCGCATATACAAGGACATTGAGGGAGCACCTAAATTATGAAAGATCTACAATAATGACTCCTTAATTAAAATATCGATGAGCTCAAAAAAAAATGCCAGTGCTTGCTAGTAATCTTGTAACATTTTGTATATGTACAAAAGAACCTACTCAGTTTTCTTCTCATTGTGTTGTTTGAATATACAAAAGATTTTACATATATATTTTAATTGATTCTGGAATCCTGTGGATGGTCTATGACAGTGATGACTAACCTTTTTGCCATTGTGTGCCAAAATCCGGGGGAGCGCAGGAGGGTCGTGCATGCACGTGCCCTCACCCATAATTCGATGTGCCCCACTCCCCGCACATGCGCTCGCGACCCCCCGCGCAACTCTTGCTATTGGCACAGTGGGTCCAGTAGGCCCGTTTTTCACTCTCCCTAGGCTCCAGAGCCTTTCTAGGAGTCTGGGGAGGGTGAATACGGCCTTCCTCACCCCTCCCCAGAAGACTCGTACAGACCAATATCATTAATAAATCAAGATGCAAAAAATTTTTCAACTATTTTAGCAAGAAGAATGAATAATTTTATAAGTAATTATATAAGGGAAGATCAATGTGGATTTGTAATGGGCCGTCAAATGCATAATTTGGTTGGAAGAGTGTTAAATGTAATTCACGAGATCAAAAATCTTAAGCTTAAAGCGGGGATATTAGCGTTAGATATTTTTAAGGCCTTCAATTGTGTGAGCTGGCAAGCATTAAAGATGGTAATAGACAGAATGGGGTTTGGAAATAAATTTAAAGGTATAATAGATCAATTATATTCTTGGAACTCTGCCTTAGTGGTAGTGAATGATGGAGTTACAGACAAGATACAACTCGCCAGAGGAACAAGGCAAGGGTGCCCACTCTCACCTGTCCTATTTGTATTGGTTATGGAACTATTGGCCAATGCGTTTTTCACTCTCCCTAGGCTCCAGAGCCTTTCTAGGAGTCTGGGGAGGGCGAGGACTTCCTCACCCCTCCCCAGAAGCCCTCCAGAGGCCGGAAACATCCCATTTGTAGACTTCAGTTGGGATGGAAGGCCCATTTTTAGCTCTCCCCAGGCTCCAGAGGCTTTCTAGGAGCCTGGGGAGGGCGAAAACGGCCTTCCCCACCCCCTGGAAGCCCTCTGGAGGCCGGAAATGACCCATTTGCCAACTTCTGGTTCCTTCCTAGCTGGCTTCCAACCAGAAAAGTCAATGGGAAAAGCTGGATTTGCTTAACAACCATATGGCTTACTTAATAACTGCAAATATTCACTTAACAACTGTGGCAAAAAAAGTTGCAAAATCAGATGGGACTATTTTAAAAACCGCCTTGCTTACTAATGGTAATTGTGGTCCCAATTGTGGTCATAAGTGAGGACTGCCTGAAATTGCAAGTCACTTGGTGTTTCAAAGACACAACTTTTGACATGATGTATTTTAAAGGCAGCCTGGGATTTTTTTCCCCCCTCCTTGTCAGACCACTTTAGCTCCAGTGAAATAACTGAATTATATGTCCTTAAATCATGTCTTGAAATGGGACAACCTGCAACATACTCAGTTTTCTCATTGTGTGGTTTGAACTCGCTTTTATCTGATGCTGTAGTATATTGCTATCACAAGACATCTCCCCTCTAGTAAGATTTTAATCTGTCTCCTATCCTCTTAAAACATTACATACTTTGTCAACATGTTTTTCCAAACTTTGAAGGGGTATGTTAAGATAAATGTATTCAATTTGCTATAGGGGTCTTACTAAGAAAGGTTCATTATTTAGTACGCAATTATTAGCACAGACTGGGACATACTATTGTGAATGCAAATACATGATCAGATATATGAAAAATTAATGCCATATGTCAGTGTTTTGCTGGCTTCATAATTACTTCTATCTACTTTGCCATATTTAGATTGATCTTGCTTTACTATATGTTCCTGATCAAATTAGAATAATTCTTTAATCAGCTCTGTTATGCATGCCATAGTGGGCCAGGCTAGGAAAGCCATTCCTGGCACACTGATGATGTGTATATTTTATTTGTTGCTATAATTTAAAAGTAAAATAAGAAATATTGATTTCTACTTGACTGGAGACCTGATTTAGTTTGAATATCAGTCTGATCTTAATCAGGTGAGAATTAATTGAGTTGGAGGTATTAGATATTCAGTGATGTTAACTGAACCATGATCTATCTACAGAGAAGCTGCCTTTTGTACTGTGTCAGAAATAACAAATAGCTTTTGCACTAAAATGTGGAACAGTCTTTTCAATGTTTGCTGTACTTTCAATTTGCATCGTTACATATATCCATAAGCATATTATTTTTAAATATATAATACTCAAAGCAACATAATTATTACAATGTATTAAAACATCTTTTTAAAAATGAACATGTTTATTGGGTTTTTTTTATAATTCAACATCTTCTATATGTCTTTCCAATCAGATGATTCAAATAACCAACATATTGCACAATACCTAAATATTTTTCAGTGCCTGTGACTCTATTGAATGGTAGCTTTAAAAATGTGAATATATGTGACTGAGAAAAAAAGAGAGATATACCTGTAATAGTTGCTGGGCTGGAAATAGGAGATCTAGTTTCTACTACTCTTAAGCACAGAAACTGGCTAGTTGACTTTGGTCAGCCCTACCTTTTCAGCCCTAGAATGGGAAGTCAAGAAGTATCAATCTGCCAAACCATATTGGATCAGTGTGGTATATTACAATCCATAACTTTCAGTGATGAGACTTCCATCCTGCAATGGATTGATTCAGGCTGATAATAATATTATTTACACACACACACACACCATGTCGCAGTGGGAGAATATAACTTTAAGCTTGTTCTGGTTCATGGTAGATGTTTTCCTATTTTAAGAGTGTGATAGCAATATCATAAGTGTTGAAGAAAATATAAATGGTGAGATAACACCTCCATAGGACTAGTTCTTAAATAGTAAAATTGTAAACCCTTTATATAAACTGCACAGCACCTTCTAAGATTTTTGTCAGTGATGCTTTGATTATAGGTAGTGGTTGGATTTTATTTAATGTATAAGAATACATATATACAATGATATTCTGGAGTGTGTCACATGTTCAACATTTAGTTTTAATGTATATCTTATTTTGAACTTTGATAAGCTTGAAATGTAAAAATAGATATTGGAAAATTAATCCCTTCATGGAATTTATTTTAACTGAATTGATTGTTGAATGATAAATTGTAAGACATAATTAAAACTATAATGTCTATTTGTGTCATGCCATAGATTGATTAATTCTATAAATTGCACACAGGAAAACCAATTTATTTGGCTTGTTTTAAAAATATTTTTACGCTATTTTAAAAATATAAAAAGGATAGACAACATCTCAGCATCAAAGAACTGAACTTTGAGAGAGGGGAAATGACCTTGATTTACAGAGGGTGAGATAGTGACATGATGATGTTGGCAAATGAAAAGAATTTGGTTTCGTAAGGTTCTGGTTTTATGGTTCAGTGTTGTTCTTTTCTTAAAGCCTACTTGATGGCTTTCACATGTATATTATTTTTCTCCCTTCCAGTTTTTCTCAATCCAGTTTAACATATACCCAAGATAGATATCCATCTGCATTTGAGTACTTCCATATCTATTTGGACATCAAGAAACTATGTGCCAGTCATGTCTATCTATTTGTGATCTAAGGTTTGAAAATAACTGTCATCTAATCAGTTTTTGTCTGGCCAGTAAGTAAATACAAAGCATGTCAGCCAACTAGTACTCCTATAGATTCAATGTGGTCAGTAGCTTCATTCAGTTAACTTCTGATTCTAGAATCTGTTTCCCTTCACAGAATAAAATAATTTACCAGCATTATTGCGCCTCAGTTCCCCCAGCACCTGGATGAAATGTCATATCTGGATCCATTCCAGTCGGGCTTCAGGCCCGGGTACAGCACGGAAATGGCATTGGTCGCATTGGTAGATGATCTCTGGAGGGCTCGGGACAGGGGTTGCTCCTCTGTCCTGGTCCTGTTAGATCTCTCAGCGGCTTTTGATACCATCGACCATGGTATCATGCTGCACCGGTTGGAAGAGTTAGGGGTGGGAGGCACTGTGTTGCAGTGGTTCTCCTCCTTTCTCTCTGACCAGTAGCAGTCTGTGTTGACAGGGGGGCAGAGGTCGACCCCAAGGCCCCTCATATGCGGGGTGCCGCAAGGGTCGGTCCTCTCGCCCCTCCTGTTCAACATTTATGTGAAGCCGCTGGGCGAGATCATCCGTGGTTTTGGGGTGAAGTACCACCAGTACGCTGATGACACCCAGCTGTACATCTCCACCCCAGACCACCCCAACGATGCCCTTGAAGTGATGTCCCGGTGCCTGGAGGCCGTGCGGATCTGGATGGGGAGAAACAGGCTCAGGCTCAACCCATCCAAGACCGAGTGGCTGTGGTTTCCGATGTCCCGATATAGTCAGTTGATGCCATCGCTGACTATTGGGGGCGAATCGCTGGCCTCCACGGAGAGGGCTCGCAACTTGGGCGTCCTCCTGGATTCGCGGCTGTCTTTAGAAGAGCACTTGACGGCCGTGACCGGGAGGATTTTTCATCAGGTTCGCCTGATCCGCCAGTTGCGTCCCTTTCTGGATCGGGACTCGTTACGCAGAGTCACTCATGCCCTCGTCACCTCCCGCCTGGACTATTGTAATGCTCTCTACATGGGGCTCCCCTTGAGGAGCACCCGGAGGCTCCAACTGGCGCAGAGTGCGGCCGCGCGGGTGGTAATGGGAGCGACATGGCATTCCCATGTAACACCCCTCCTGCGCGAGCTGCACTGGCTCCCGGTGGTCTTCCGGGTGCGCTTCAAGGTTTTGGTTACCACCTTTAAAGCGCTCCATGGCTCAGGACCTGGGTACTTGCAGGACCGCAACTACCACCAATAGCCTCCCACCGACCGGTACGCTCCCACAGAGAGGGGCTCCTCCGGGTGCCGTCGGCCAAACAATGCCGATTGGCAGCCCCCAGGGGGAGAGCCTTCTCTGTGGGGGCACCTACTATCTGGAACGAGCTCCCCCCGGAGATACGGAGGATCCCGGATCTGCGCACCTTCCGCCGCGCCTTAAAGACCTTTTTATTTCACCAGGCGGGCCTGGCCTAATTTTCTCCCTCTTTTATAAAAGATTTTTAAATTTTTAATATTTTTTAGTATTTTATGTATTCAAATTTTAAAATTGGTTTTAAATTGATTGGGGTTTTAATTTGTTTGGGCTAAAACTATTTAATTTGATTTTAATTCCACTTTTAAATTTTGTATGTATGTATTTTATTGTTTGGCTGTGCACCGCCCTGAGTCCTTCGGGAGTAGGGCGGTATAGAAATCAAATAAAATAAATAAATAAATAAAATAAATTTTCCCTTTCCTTTTTATATGATACCAGATTATTGCAAAGTTGATGGAGATAATAGTAGGAAATTATTCTGAAATAGTTTTGCTGCTAAGTACAATATAAATGCCTTATCCTAAGTAATTTATGATTAATATTAGATTCCCTCTTTTAAAATGCTTACCATGTAAGCTTATTTTAATATAAGGCATAAATTGGATAATTCAGTATAAGAAGAAACAGTGGTGTGTGCTGGATTTTATAGAAACATTCTTCCTATTCCCCTGCCAACTATATCAAAACCAGGCGAGTTATGCTAAATTGAATCTGTAGCTACTATGTTCCTGAATTGGATGTTGAACTCACATATGCATATTCTTCTCATTTGATTCAGTCCCCAAATGAATGAAAAGGATTTTTGGGCAATAGGTCGCTATCTGGAATAAAAAGTTAAATGATCTAAAAGTACTGTCATGGTCTAATCCAGAAAAGTAAGTTTGGATCTGATTGTGTGATCTTATTTGAATTATATATACAGATAGTCCTCAGTTTATATACATTTGTTCAGTGAACATTCAAAATTGCAGGAGTTTTGGCCATTGCAGCATCCCCTTGGTCAAATGATTGTGATGCTTGAGCGCCTGGATCACAATTATGTCACAATAAATGGTGGACATGTGATCACCATTGTCCTCCTGCCAGCTTCCTGAAAGCAGAGTCAAAGGAGAAACTGCCAGGGAAGGTTGCAAGTCACTCCAGTAAGTTGATCCCATTACTTTTTTCCCTCAAAGAGTCCTGGAATGTCATACTTCACAATATCACCTTCAGCAGCCTCCTGCCTTTGTGCAGCCTTGGCTTCCCCTTCTAACATGCTGTCTCCACTAGCCCTCCCCAGATCTCTAACAAGCCATGTGCAGTACCCATCAACACACCCATGTAGGTATGTAGCTTCTACCTATGACTCCTTGCTTGGGATTCCTATCTCTTTCCATTTAATGACCCACACAATCCTGAATTTGCAACAGCAACTGGGACCAGGATTGCCATCATTGTGATTTGAACATGTGGTATTGCATTTTACAATTACATTCTTTACAACAGTCCAAGTCTCAATAGCTATTGTAACTCAAGAACTACCTTATTAAAAACTGGGGTAGCATAGGGCAACTAAGTGTTTATGCTAAATATTATATGGAGTGAATGTTGAAATATGACCTGCAGGCTTTTTTAGAAACTAATATTGGCATAAGAGAAAGAAAAATTGTAATTTCAAAATACAAGAGATTTAATATTTTATATCCCAAGTTACCAATGTGCAATGGCTAATTGAGAAACATCTAGAATGGAAATGTTTTCCTTAAATATATAGTAAAATATTAGAGCTTTTTAATTTGTTGAATATTTGAAAAGTATTTTTTAAAATATATGGCCAGCATATGGATGGATGGATGGATGGATGGATGGATGGATGGACGGATGGAGGGATGGAGTCAGTCAGTCAGTCAGTCAGTCTGTCTGTCCATCCAGGTGGTTGGTTGGATGGATGGATGGATGGATGGACGGACGGACGGACGGACGGACAGACAGACAGACACGGTAGTTAGATAGGTACGGTAGATAGATAGATGTAATACATTAAATAAATGTAGGTAATCCCTATTTAGGGACAGACTCATTTAGCAACTGTTCACAGTTACTGTACAACAGTGATGAAAAAGTAATTTTGTAACCAACCCTCACATTTTTAATATTTGCAGATCAGAAAAGCAAAAGAAAGCTGAAGTAAAAGTGGAAGCACAGTCATGATTTCACTGAGCAGTTGCTTCATTTAATGACTGGGTTGTCAGTCTCAGTTGTAATCACTAAATGAGGACTACTTGTAATTTCAAGAAACTGTTAATGCAGTTCACAGAATTATAAATTAAAGCCAAATATGTTTACTGCCTGATCCAATTTGAAAGAAATATATTAATTAAAAGAATGCAATCTGAATGTCTTGGAATTTTCATGTGGGTTTTTTTT